TTCATTCCCTTTTTTATTTACTCAGAAAGCACTAATGGCGTTGATAAAAGCAGAACATGCTCTTTTAGAAGAATAGATAATTAGCCTTGACACAGAGTGAGCCCAGAATCCTTATGAATGAATTAGCTAATTCTAACTGTGGACACGGAGCATTTTGTCTTTCCTCTGACATCCAGATGAGAATTCAGTAACAGGTGGAGACACTGGAGTGGCTGAAGTCAGCAGGATTGTCTGTAAAGGGCTTAGGTTAGAAATACCAGATGGTTTGGATAATGCTGTTTTATCAATAATGGTCTTAGAAAAGACATGGTGGTGCCAAGCCAAAAAAAAAAAATTAAAAAGAAAAGTCACAGCCATTTCTACTGGCTTTAGGCAATGATTGTGTTTTGTTACTATTATGTAAAATCACACGGTATGGTATCACAGGGAAAGCAGCCTGGGATGTCTTGGTATCTTATCAATCATGCTTTTAAAGTAAAACTATTTACTTAGTCCTTACTGAGTGTTCCAGGATTTAGACAGGAAAACAAAGACTCGTAGCACATGATCACTATTGTTGAAGAATTAGCACTCCTGTTATAATGACAAGACACAGTCAAAAGAAAGGTATGTTCTATTGCATTGGATGTCTCAAGTCACATATGTTAAGTGTTACTTGAACATATTGGCAATGAGTTGTGTCACATTAAGCTAGGATAAGAGCTGTGTGGATAAGTGTGGTCATGGTGGCAATTGAATGGAAACTTGAGTGATAGTTAAGACTTTTAGGTATGAAAGGTACACACAGACATGAACGACAAACCAGAAGTTGGGATGAATATTCCATGCTCTCACTGAGAAGGAAATAGCCAAGACGGGGGGAGTGGGGAGGGAAAGAGAGAAAAAGGAGGGAAGAAAAAAAAAATTAATTCCTTGCACTTATGTAGAATTTTAGCATGTAAATAGACCATCTTCACTTTAACTTATGATACACACAAACAGGTATGCAAAAGTCAGAAGTCACTGCCATAACAGGAGGTGGAGCTGACTCATAGCTGACCCTCCAGTGGATTTTCCAAGGCTGTAAATCCTGTGAGAGGAGATTGGCCATGTGGAGATTTTCCCCAGAGATTGAATGAGTTTGATTAACTGGAAAGTGGCAGATCTATATGTAGTTTGGCCTTGGGATCCTATCACCTAATGCTTCCTATGGAAAGATAGAGCTCAAAGATAAGCAGACATAATGATGAATTCCTTCTACCACAAATTTAAGGAATCGTCCCTTTATTCTTCCAGAGATAAAGGGGTGGACAATGTACCAAATTTACCAAAAGGGGAAGAGAGCAGAGTTTACCACAACCTGTCAAGATATGATTGATCTTGGACAAAACTCTTGAATTACTTTTATTTCTAACCTTTCTATTGTGATCCAGGTGTAAGTTTATGAAGCAAGCTAGTTTTCCATTCAACAGTTTGTATACATTTTATTTCTTGACACTGATTGCAATCTCCACAACATAACAACACTCACTCATTCTACCTCTTCCCCATAGTTCCTGTTTCTATTCTGCCATCTTTCTCTTTACCTTCTTGGTGGGTTGTTTTGGGGTGGGTTGTTTGGTGTTCTTTTTTTTAAAAGATAGACTTTGAATACATGGAAGAACCCTAGTTGACATAGATTTATCAGAAAATATGGTTGTGCTGAAATTGATCCTTTTCCTCTCTGATAAGTGCATTCTTACTTATAGAAGAATATAATTTGTTCACCAGCAAGGCATATGTTTCAAAATATCTCATGGAATAAAAATGGATAGTGGATTCATTTAAATTAAATTTTAAAATTAAAGAAGATATTCAATTCATCCAGCTCTGCTCTATCATTTTGTAAGTGTGAAAAAGGAAATTGAATGACTTAAGATTGTATCATTATCAAAATAGTTTGCACGTACATTCACTATGCATTTGGCATATTCTAAATTATTTGCACGTATTGACTCTTTAATTCTCACAGTAAGCCCATAAGGTAACCCAGAGTGAAGCAGTAACTTGCCAATATTGCAAGGCTGTAAGCAACAGACTGGGATATGCACCAGCGATGCTGGCTCCTGCGTTTCATGCTTTCCTTTAGCTACAGCCTCCCCAGGCCAGGTAACTTTGGCTGAGCAATGTGCCAAAGGTACTATTGAATAGACTTTCTCCTGTAAGACATCTTGTTATGTCATTTTTTTACATCTCTACCAATTAATTGTACCGTCGTTCATCAAATTTGCAAAAGACATGAAATGAGTAAGGTGGGGAGAGAAGCGTAAGAAACAGACTGAATCACACAAGCAAGATCCCAAAAGATCTGCAAACATGAATGAATTTTTAAAAGTATTTACTTCGGAGAAATACAAAAAGATATTTCATATAATCCCCCAAGGCATTTGCCCAAGAGTAAGATAAGGCACATGTATAAAAAGATTAGAACCAGAGGTGGCATTTTGTCAAGTCACTTCCACATGAATTGTCACATGGGGCTTCCCCAAAGCTAATGCGAGTGAGTAAATACCCCTCTTGTATTCTGTATTTGTCCTATCCGTACCTCTATTCTTCACCCCCCCCCCGCACTCCCCCATGCAGTCTTATTTGTTTTTGTACTGCACTTTGAGTGAAAGTTCACAGAGCAACTGGTTTTCCATCCAAGCATTCATACACCACCCCATTCCTTGACTGACACGCTGAGATCTTATCAACTAGCCACCCCGGAGTTCTGGGTGCTCTAAGATTTCCTGGGCTCTTCCTCCTTCCTGTCCTGTTCTTACTGTGGTCTGCAAATTGGTCTTCTCTCTTCTCTTCCTTTGTCATCCTGACTTTTCCCTAGTTTTGGCTCTTTTTTCTTGCTTTTTGTTATGCATTTTCCTTCTATTGAACCTTGACTTTTTCTATCAAGTTTAAGCTCATTGCCAATGCATCAGAATTGACTCATAGCTGGCCCTCCAGAAAGTTTTTCAGAGGCTGTAAACCACATGGGAGGAGATTGCCCATCTTTCTCCCTTGGAGCAGCTGGTGGATTTGAATTGCATTCCTTTGAGTTCCAATGCAAATCTTTATCTACTAAGCTACCAGAGTTCTTTATGACTTTTCCATGAGACTTTAATTTAATTTGCCTCTCTGACTTTTTATGTTCTATGTGGCATCAGGCAAAAACATGTTGCAGCCTCTCAGGGCTCAGTCTATGGCAGTGATCTGCATGTGTCTAGAGTATTGCACACAGGTCTGCCCATCTCCCAAACACCATGAAGATAAATTAACTCATATTCATAGGCAAAGAACAGGTGTGAATAAATTTGAGTATCTTGTGATATGTAAAATATGATATCCCTGGAGACCTCTCCAGGTTTGCAAAAGACCTCACTGTTTAAGACCCCATGGGCATCTCTTATTTGATTCCAGAGAGTAGTTTAGAACCCGAGAGCAGAAACTTTCCAGAGAAGTGGCAGATTTTAGTGCAATAAAACAAATTCCCATGGTAACAGTTGTCCAGAGTTGCAATGGGAAAGTAGTGGGATCCCCATTCCTGGAGGCATTGAGGTATCAGCTGAGCAGCGACTAGTCAGGAAAGTTGTATTACAGACACAAGTGTCAAAGAGATGGTTAGACTCTTTCATCTGTGGGCTGATCTCACCCCAGAAAGATGCAATGTGCAAGTGGCAATGGCCAAGACTGACTTCTACCCAAATCATAGAGGGGAACTGTCCCCATCAATAATATTCATAGCAGCAAATAGACAGCTGCTTGGTCAGACATGCCACCTCACCACACCCCCCCTGCCCCCCACCATACCCTGGCCCCTCTTTCTATCAACCGTTTGAATCTGATATTAATTGTTGACTTCCAATGCAAGTCCAGGTTTAGTCCAGTAATCCCAAGCCAGATTAACAGCAAAACACAATTCCTCAACTACCAAAAATCCTAGTTCGGTTCAGTAGCACAAATCCAAATCATCCAGCAAGGTTTGCTTCAGAGAGGTTACAAGCCACTTCTCCTTCAATCATCTGTCAAGAAAAAACCTTTACCTGTGGCCAAGACAAACACGAGAAGTCTCGGGTTAGACCTTGCCACAGTCTCTCCACAATCTCTTTACCACTGCCATCATCAGGGTGTCACTCTACAGTGTGGAAAGCACTCTCTCTATTAGTAGCACTGCTGTTGATGATTTGCAAGACCATGTGTCTGCAGTTAAGATAGCTGGAAACAAGTGCAGGGCTAATGTTATGGCCAGGAAAGCCAACTTTTAAACACCACAGGGATAGGGAGGAGTCTTTTAAGCAGTTGAAAACAATGGCTTATAAGGTGAATGTATTAGGGAGCTCTGGTGGAGTAGTAGGTATGCAGCTGTGGAGTCAATGCAAAGGCAAGTGGTTCAAATTCACCAGTTGCTCCTATGTGATTTACAGCCTCTGGAAACCTACTGTCAGCTGAGTCAGCTCTGGCTCGGCCCGGCGTTACAACAACATAAGGTGAGAATTCCCATCCGATGAAACATGTGAGCATGACCATCACATGAAGCCAGCACCTCCTCCTTACCTCTAGGTTTTCCGTGTGAATCAGCAATAGCTCCCAGCTGCACTTGTTTGGGTTTCATTGTTAGGGCGCAGGCAAACGCTTCCAGCTGCTAAAGCAGGAGAGGCCCACCCCAAATGCAAGGGCCCTTCTATTTCAGTTTTCCATAGCTGGGGATTGAGTCTCACGCTTCTGTAATCTCCTGCTTATGAAAGGGCTCTGTTCTCTCTCGGTACCCACCCCCAGCCCCTTTCACAGATCAAATACCAAGTGCACTGGGCAGATAGAAAGCCAGAGTGAGAAAACGCATTTTAATAAAAACCCCATTGATTTTTGTGGGTGCAAGTCAAAGGAAAGGCACCTAAAGACACTTGCATCCCCTGACACCTCCCCCCTCTTTCCTGACCTACTCCAAGGCTGTCATATATCGATTGGCTCCTAGATAATAGATTGTGCCATGGGTAGGGACCTCAGGGGACAAGCCAGGCTCTGGGAGAGTCACACACATAAGCCCAGCCCTGAGTTAATCAAACTAGCAACAGGATCTTCAGCAGCAGTGGTGGCTGTGGCAAGAGTAGCAGCAGCAGCAGCAGCAGCAGCAGAAGCAGCGGTGGCGGCGGCAGCAGCAATAGCAACAGCAGCATTATGCGTGATTACTGACAGGCACCAGCTGCTGCCGCCACAGCCCTCTCCACGCACTCACTATGTGGACTCTCAGATGGAGACGCGGATTCCTGACTAATCCCAGAGGGCTGGCCCAGCCTCTGCTCCCTGGGCTGCGAGGAAGCGATGACCACTCTTGTTAGCCCAACTTAAAGAGAGCTCAGCTTTGCCCGGGAGCTTGGAGAGGCCGTGCTATTTCGACGACAGACAAGAGAGAGAAAAAGAGAGAAATATGAACTGAAGAGTCAACATGTATGGAAATTATTCTCACTTCATGAAGTTTCCCGCCGGCTTTGGCGGTAAGTAGCTTACGGGGGGTTCACTGTGCGGACTGGTCTAGAAAGATGGAAAGAGAATTGGATAACTGAGTTTGTATGGAATTAGGAGGAGAGTATATATATATATATATATTTATACTCATTTACAGTGGCTTTGTTTTTTTGTGTGAGAATCTGTGTCTGTGCTCAAGGGAGAGAAAAAGAGAGATGGAGAAGGAGAGTATGTTGGCTTGGAGGAAGGATGTTTGCAGGGCAAGATGAGTGAACAGAAAGGGGATGTTGGAAGAGAAGTGCCTAAGTCACTATGCTGAGAATGTCTGAGACAAAGATAGACTTGAGGGCTTTTGTTAAAACTCAGCATGTTTGTAGGGACATGAAAAGTGGAGGCGTTAAAGAAAAATTACTATGTTATAGCTATTATTTAACTTGTAGTGAAAAAATGTGATAAAAATTTTTATCTATATGAAAGGTCCCCGGGATATTTAATAACAAGGGCATGATTCTTTTTTCTCAGTTGAAAATCAGATTGCAATGTAATTAGAGTTTTGAAAAGAAAACATAGCACTTTAAATCTGCCACCAGGTCTTCCTCTTGTTTCTACCCCCTTTAGTTTGTTGCTGGCCTCTTCTCTCCACGTCTGTTGTTGCCCTCAACTCCAAGGCAGGGTCTCTGCCACCCATTCGCTATGTGGTTGGGGTCTGAGTGGACATGCATCTGGCTCTTGTAACAGAGAACTGACAACTGGGAGATTCAAGTGGCTAAGCCAGCCAGCCAGCCAGCCAGTCTTTTCACACTTCAGAGAGACTGCTGGTTCCAGAGATGGATCCTTAGCCTGCAAACCCTTAGGCATGGCTGCCCAAAGGACCCCTCCATCCAGTGACAGAATAGGCATAAAGAGCTACTCAGCTTTGAGTAAATAAAACAAACAGCTGAGCAGCCAGTCTCCACTAGTCAGATGGTAGCTTGTAGCTTGTGTTCTTGGGAGCCAAAGGGCAGCTTTTGCCCCATGGATGCTGGCAGGCAGGACAAAGCAGAAATTCTTGTAAGGTCTTGAGAACTGCAAAGTCTCTACTCCCTTGACCTCCTCAGTGGACAGATGGCCAATTCAACTGAAGGCTGGGAAGTGAAGTCTGCCCTCTTTGCTGGGCAGAGCATTTAGTGGGATATGGTGGAACACTGCAAAGTGGACGTGGGCCCTGCCCCTTTGGCCAGATGGTTTCCTCATTCGTTGAGTAGTTTTTATGAGCAAAGTACAGAGTGAAATGCCAGAAATACAAGTATGAATGAACGATAGTCCCTGCTCTGCACCAGGGCAGGTTTGTTAAATATATTTTAATCCTCCACAATATGTGCTTTAGGGGAGGGAGACACAGGTGGACACAGACCAAGTGATGTCTCAGTTATCTGGGCCAATCTGATGACATGGCCGAGGAGGAATGGCCAATGGTCTGACTTGGCTATTTGATCTCCAGTTAATAACTGGGCCCTAGGTGTGAAAAATCTTCTCAACTCACATTTCTGTCCCATTCACAGAGCTGAGACTCACTTTTCCTTTTTCTCTGAATTCAAGTGATCCAGGAACATGCTTATACCCAGTGAGAGTCTTGAGCTCATCCCCTGCCCCCACGAGTTCTGTGAGGATATGGCTTCATTAATGCTAGAACCCTTTGAGACAGGTGTGGAAGGTAGAAAGATTTAGTGATATTTAGACATTGGAAAAAGAGGATTTAGTCTAACATTCTTTAGGGGCTCCCTCTTGCAAACTTGGAGTGTTAGCACCCTAAGGGATCTTAAAGAGCAGCTTAGAATGATTGTTTTATAGACATATAAACAGAAGGCTAGTGGAAATCAGGGGCTAGTGCAAGGGTATATGGAATTGAAGGGTAGATCCTCCCCAGAGAAGCCTCTAACCCAGATTTATGACACCAAATCAGGCGCACTACCATCAAGCTGATTCGGACTCATAACAACCCTCTAAGACACAGTAGAAGTGGCCATAGGCTTTTCCAAGCTGTAAATCTTGTATACAGATTGCCTCATCTTTTTCCCTGCAGGATGGCTGCTGGGTTCAAACTAGCAATCTTTTGGTTAGCAGTTGCATGCTTTTAACCAGTCTGCCACCAGGAGTCCTTAGATTTATGATGTTGCATTGTTGTTGTTAAGTGTCATCGTGTTGGGACCCACTCTAAGGAGTTTTCAGAAGCTGTAAGTCAAAGGACCAACATTTTCTTGCCCTCAAGCTGGCAATCTTATTCCTTACTATTAAACTACTAGAGCTCCAGGTTTCTGATATTATTGCTTCAATCTGATATGATGAAAAGAACATGTGCAAGAAAGAGGGGGAAACGGGGACAGGTAGATAGACAGAGAAGGAATAAGTGAGCTGAGTTTGGTTGAGCTGAGCCAACTGTGTGACCTTAGGCAAGGTACTGAACCTCTCTGAGTCAAGCCTCAATTTTTTATCTTTCAAATGGGGTGTAGAATCCTATCCTTAGAATGCTATTGAGATTCAAAGATATGAAAACGTAGCTGCTATAGTATTGTTTTAATAAAAGTTACTATTTTTATCCTTTCCCTTTTGCTCACATACTAACAGGCAAAACAGTTAAAAATCAGACATTACTATAGGATAATAAGCCAGGAATCTGGGAAAATCTAGTTAAATCCACTCATCCTGGCTTAAATCTCCCTAACTGTGGGAGTCCCGCGATTTAGTATAATTAGCTTTTAGACAGAATTGAAACACAACTGTGCAGCCTTTGGAAAGAGACGGGCCCATGTCTTATTGAGAGCAGAGGGAAAGTGTTCGCGTGTAAATTGTGGAAATGTCTCCCTGGAATGCTACGTTTTCTTGTCATCCCTAAGGGAGGAAAACAATCACTTTGCTTAGTTTTGTTAATATTTTTTCTTACTTTTTTGTGAGCTCAGGCTAAGGGAGGCTGAAGCACACGGGGAAGACTGTCCCCATCTGCAGGGAGGTGGGAGCGGGAGCAAGAACCTGGTGTGGGAGGGGGTGGGGCAGGAGGCCTGCTCACTCTAGGTGCCAGGGAGGCCTTGACACTTGCGGTTTCCACTAGCCTTTGCCCCAGTGCGGCAAATATTGCTGCACCTGTGGCATGACTTGGTATAGACCCTTACACTCTTGTGTATCTTAGCAAACAGTACTGCAGACGGCTCCTGAGGGGCGTGTGGGCGCCTAGGGGAACCAGAGTCACTCTTTGGAAACGACAGCAGGGATTTGTGTCTAGGTTCTGCTTACCAGACATAAGACTATAGATCCGATCAGTGAAGAAGAAACCTGTCAGTTGCACAAAGGCTGCTGACTGCCCGGTGGCTGCGGCCCCACCAAGGCGCCCACTCTCCCACTCTAGGTCCTGCAGTGAATCATTATGACGGCAGAATCCTTCTCTTCTCCTTCCCTGCCAAGCCCTGGCTCTGCCAGCTGCCCAGTCAGAGACTTGTTTTCCTGGGATGAGACAGTTGCTGCCTCTAAGAAGATGGCAAAGCCAAGCCTGTAATCCCCCCCATCCAATTGTGCAGTAATCCTTAGGGCGAGAAGGGGATCAGTGAGAGAGGACTTCTCTCATCTCTATAACAAACATACTGCTAAGGACCAGCTCCCTCTGTTAGCACTTTACCCATCTCAACTCATATGATCTTCCTAACAGTCCTGTGAATAAGTTCTGTTACCATCACCACTGCCCTCCTCTTAGGACAGAAGGAAACACTGAGAAGTGAACTTATTTCAGATCCCAAAGCAAGGGAATGGTACAGCCAAGGAATTGAATGCAGGTATTTTAACTGCAGAGTTTATTGTCTGCTGAGCTGTCTTACATGGCTTCTATAAGTGGCAGACTTTCTCTGTGAACCTGGGGACCCCCTCAGTCGACCACAAGTGGGTGAGGAGCCCTAATTTACTTCCTGAAATTCAGCTTCAAGGCTAAAGATGCAATGAATGGCCTGGTGCTTGAAAAATAAAGCAAAAGCTAAATCAGGAGCTGCTGAGAAGCAATAGTGACCTCTAGAGGCTCCTCCTGGGCTGTCACTGGTCAGTAGGAGTCCTGTCCTTCTGACCCTGACCATCCCCGTTCACCTGAGGATAGCCATAGGGTGGGTGATTGAGTTAGGAGCGTGGGATGTGTATAAAAGACAGTGTGTTCGCATGTGTGTATGAGAGGAAGAGGAGTGTGTATGTAAGGGGGGGGTGTGTAAAGTGTGTATGTTTGAATGTTTGAAAAGGTATATGTGACTGCAGGTATATGTGTGGATGTGTGTGCTTGTGGAGAGGAAAATGTATGCAAGGAATATGTGTCTATCAGTCTATATGTGTGTTTGGGTGTGTGCATATATAAAGGATGATGTGGAGGGGAGTATATGTGTGTGTTTTCTGTCGTATACAGGGTCACTATGAGTTGAGCAGATTGGATGGCACCTAACAACAACTACATGTTAACAGGAGAGGCTATTTCTTGGAAAAGGACATCACCGTGCTTAGAAAAGATGGAGGGTGAGCAAAATAAAGGAAGACCCCTAATGAGATCCTCACTCTTCCTGACATACTAGAGCCCATTGCAGCAGTCAACCTGGTCAATATTCTTCCTCTTCTTAGCTGACCCTCTACACTTCCCAGCATCATGTTCCTCTCCAAGGAATAGGCCCTCCTAACAACATGCCCAAAGTATATGAGGCAAAGTCTCTTCGTTCTTGACTCCAAAGAGCACTCCAGCTGCACCCTCTCCAAGATATATTTGTTGATTCTTTTGGCCATCCATGGGATATTCCATGTTCTTCTCCAACACCACCGATCAAAGGCATCAATAATTCTTCCCTATTCATTGTCCATCTCTCAGACGCATAGCAAGTTATAGGAAAGACCATGGCCTGAATCAGATGCATCTTACTCCTCAAATTGAAAATGGCACAGGATTGGACGGAGTTCAGATCATTTGTTCACAGGGTCACTATGAGTCATACTCAACTCACTGGCACCTAACAACAGCTCAATGAGATGGGTTGACACA